CCCCCATCAAACCTGCACTGCTGTCGGTTTTTTTTTTTGTAATGAAAAAAAAAAAAAAAATCCCTGTGAAAATCAAAATCATTCCCCTGCCCTCAAAAGAACATATTCTGTGCGATAACTGTGCCTGCAACAAAGTGTTAATCTTGGGATCGTATTTTTATATTACACATTTGCATATTTGGTTTTTAATTGGTGTTAGACACAAGGATAATTTCCAAAAAGCAAAGAGTTCACATATGGATTTTAATTTCCATTCTTTGAAATGTCCCTTTTCTTTTTGTTGATCTAGATGCTCTGGTATTTTTGAAAAGCCTTGAGATAGGAATATGTTAAAACAGCTGCCATGAATGAGATGCTTAGGAATACCAGGATTTCAGTGACTTTTTAAAAAATAAAATCCATTCTTTTAATGCTGCAGATATGATAAATGCTAAATGACAGTTCTGAGCCATTAGAGCTTGTCCGCGGAGAGCAGATCCTTTTATTCTTGGAGGCTGCAGTTTGGGGCAGGGGTCACTTTTTATGTTGCGTACCAATTTGTATCCATGGCTTGGCCTTACCAAAGCAGAAAGGGTGCAGGAAATGTAGAATTACATTTTTAAAAAAATTAAAAAAAAAAAATTCACAAACATTTTTGTATTACTGCCCCCTGCATATGATACTTGAATTTCCTTTTTAAAAAGGATTTGAAACCACAGTGTTTTAAAATTAAGTCTGAAAAAAAGGTTGTTTTTTCTTTTATTTGTTTTTTCGCTGTGTCTTCTGTTCAATTCCTGACTCTCTTGAACTACAATAAATGATACACACTCGCACAAAATGTTTCCTTTGTCTTTCTTGAAGCGCATCAGTGAAAGTATAAAAAATACAAATGATTGGGTGGCTTTGTTCAGGTTTGCTGATAGTGATTTAGGATCTGGAGATAACTTAATAAATTACCTGAAAAATTTCTGTGCACAGAGATACCAGTAATACTTCAAACTAATGAGCGTTCCCAAGTGGGTGACTCTTACACCTATTCAGAGCTGCATGACAGTTGGTGACAGACTCCAGGCAGAATTTTGGTTGGGTTATATATAATCCAGTGCTGGCCTTTGAGATGTGCGAGTAATTCTCAATTAAAATGTGAAAAATGTGAAGGTGTAGTGGTTTGTGGGGGTTTTTTTGGGTTGGTTTGGTTTGGTTTTTTTGGTGTTCCCCCCCCC